TATGTTGGGCAGGAATTCGAATGTGATATTTGCAGAAAGAAGGGGCATATTGCCAAAAAGTTTGAAATGCGTGGTAGATGTATGGAATGTAAGCAGCCGGGGCATTTCCAGCGGAACTGCCCTATCCGGCGTCAGTAGCTCTTGCACCTGGATCAGGACACTGAAGCTCTGCCTAATGTGGAACCCTGTGTTGTGGCTTAAGCCGGGAGTGCGGATGGTGCTGGCTCTCGGGGTTCCAGCCAACTGGTTCTTGATGTTGTGTCTGGGCCTTCAGTTGGGAGTTCGGATGGTGCCAGCTCCTTGGTTGCTAGTCCTTCCAGTGTTAACCCCCTGCCTGTGAGTCCAGATGGTGCCGGCTCGGCGGCAGCTAGCCAATCAATCCTGGCTGCTGTCACTAAGTCTGGATGTTTCGCTGTCTGGTGAGAGTGCGGATGGTGGCGGCTCTCAAATGGATACTCATGATAACCAGTTGGATGAATTGAACAGTCAGGTCCCCTCTGGGGGGCAAATTGGTGCTGCTCCAAATTCTCCTGGTTCTTTGTCTGGGGCTGTGGTACAAACCCCAATTTCTGTTTTTGATGGGTGAATTGGCGCTGCACCAAATTCTTCAGATTCATTGTTTGGAGCTGTTGTCCAAACATCAAATTCCGATTCATGTGTTGATTCCAATCCTACTTTAAATATTGTCAATTCTAAAGAAACTAGTAATATAGATGAGGATATTAATGATAATGTCTATGAAACTAGTAGTGAAGGATTATAATGAAATAATGAAAAATATCCTCGAAGAATAAAAGAAAAGAAGAAGCCTACAACATGGGTTATTCCTTGGCGGTCACCCATCTAAGTACTAACCCCGCCCGACAGGGCTTAACTTCGGTGATCAGACGAGAACCGGTGTTCTCCCTGTGGTATGGTCGTAGGCGAGAGAAAGGAGAGAAAATTTTACTTCTTATACCAAGTATGGTGAACATGTAATAGAGGCACTCGTTGATTACCCTGCTCAGGCAACCCTGACCGTCAAAACAGCCTATGAAGTCCTCTTTTGTAGCTGTAAGTTAATTTATGCAGCCACTTACACAGAGCTTTGCAGGCTTTGCGTTTTAGTCTTCCCTGTCTTCCTATAGGTTGAAGGCCAAGCTGCTAGGGCCTGGGTGCCATGTAGACGCTGTTTGATACCTGTCTATACACACTACAGTGGCCTGAAGAGCTTGGCCGAGTATCTGTGCTCGGACTGAGCCAATCATACCTCCCTGTCCTCACACAGAGTGCCAGATTCATCATGGGATGCGACAGTATTGCAACCACCATATCTGGGACGGGGAAGGAGCCAACCACCCTAGGTCCGGAGGAACTAAAGTGGAATCGCTTTTCGGCCTTTTGGCTTAGTGTTCTCTCACCTGTGGGACACTCTGCTCTAGTTTAGTTGATTGGCTTTCTTGTTTGTTTGTGGGGCCTGTCTTAAGTACCTGCTGGGAGGGAACGGCATGGCCCCCGCCCTAAATCTCTCGCCAGGTGATTTTTGAACATCTTGGAACGTTTTCCTTGACGATGTCTTCCAAATTTGCTGATTGGGGCGACTCTGTTGATGATGGTAGTAAATTGGTTCGCACATTGCATCGATTGTTATCAAGTGATCCTGAAGCGTCTTGTGAAGAGTCTAGTGAAGAGTCCGGTGAGTTGGTGACAGTGTCTGAGGGTAGTTACCATAGTGAGGCGAGTGTCCTTGCTGCTGTTACCTACAGTGCCGCTGCTCAGAAGAACTTACCTAAGAGGACATTCCGAAAGAAGTCTCGTTTTGCACAAGCCATCTATCAGAGTTTGAAAAAGAACATTTTCATCATGCCGAACAGACCGTACATGGCCTTTTTCATGGCTCCTGCTGCTTCCTTTACCAACAAGGATATTTTTAACGCGCTGCTGTCAGATGGTGTTCCTGCTTCCGTTGCTCAATCTTTGCAGAGATCTCCTAATGGCAATGTCCTAATTACATTTGCGTCCAGACAGTATCATGATTTGTTCCTGCCTCGTTTCTCCCTTTTGGTTCGCTGAGAGTGGTATGTCACCCACCCCGGTTCACACCATCTCCTTTTTGTTACAATCTACGATGTATTGCCGAACTGCCAGACTCTGCTATCAAGCACCGGTTTAACCACTACGGCAGGATTTTCTCTTCTCGTCGTGGTAGAGTTCTTGGTTACCCAGACGTTTTCAATGGCCTGCAGCATGTACGTATGGAGTTGAAGACCCACACCCTGGGCTTCTTACGCTTTGGGAAATGTCAGATTCGTGTTAAGTACAATGGCCAGCCAATGACCTGTTGTCTGTGCAATTCTCGACATCACCTGTATAAAGATTGCAGAAGTTAAGTCTGTTTCAACTGCCACCGTACTGGTCATCATTCCAGATCATGTCCTGGGGATATGAGATGCTGTATTTGCCAGGAAGAAGGACACATGGCTATAAAAAGTGAGCATTTGAGGTACCGGTGCCCCCAGCGTCCATGGCCCTTTCTCCTGAGTCTGTGTCCAAGGATGTGGGACCTGCCCCTGAGGAGTTGACACGTGTTGAATCTGTGCCTGGGCCTACCGCTGTGGAAGCTCTCCCCGATGAAGTGTCCCCAGAAGATGAGGACCCTCCCCCCCCCTTGCAGATGTTGGTTGAAGAGAGTGTTTCTAATGAGGTCGCCCAGTCCAGTGCACTGTCGGATGGGCCATCTGGTTCTCTGGCAGAGGAAAAGGATAATCATACTGTTTTGACGTCTCCTGTTGTTGCTGAGGGTCAGCAGCTTAGTTTGGATGTTCATGTTTTGGATTCGTAAGGCGATTTGGTTTCTGAGGAACCTGCTGTTGCAGAGAAGTCTGCTGATGTTATGAGCTCCCTTCCGGAGCCCTCGCTTCCTGATAGTGTCTTGGCTACAGTGGATCCCCGCTCTTCAACTCCTCGGTCTGACGATCATGTGTTTTCAGTCTCTGACAGTGCTCTTGCTCAAGTTTCAATTCCTCCTCCTTTGGATGCTACTGCTTTGGACCTTGCTCCTCCTGACGAGAATGGTGATGATGATGACATGGGGGACTCTGCCACCCTTCATGATGACCAGGAATTGGCAGCTGCCTGGAAGTGCATTTCCCATAAAAAAGGAAAGAAGAAGAATTTGGCTAGGAAGGCATCTTCTGCTACCTCCGACTTGTTTATCCCAGTGTGCAAGGCATTCCACCCCAGCCTTCCTGGGGTGCTGTCAAGTAGACGTAAGGACCCGCCTGAGTGATCCTTTTTCCAAGATTCAAAAGGTTAACAATTAATGTACGCAGTTTGAGTGAGAGTAAGTTTTTGTCTGTTGTTGAGTGTTTCCGTCGGGAGAGTTTAGATTTCTGTTTTCTTCAAGAAACAATGACTTTGGATAAGCGTGTTATTGATTCCTTCTCTTCTCACTGGCAGGGCCCTAGTTTCTAGTCTCTGGCTGCAGGGAGGAGGGGGGAGTTGCTATTTTGCTTTCGTGTCAATTAAAAAGTAATACTTCAGTTTGGAAAAAGGATACTGAAGGGCGGATCCTCAGTATACTATAAAAGATTGGTTCCTGCTCCATTAATCCAGTTAATGTTTACGCTCCAACAGTGCCGGCTGATAGAAAGGCTTTCTACCAGTCAGTACAGTTGTACTTTATTCCACACTCTGAGCTTGATGGTTCCCCTGATAAGTTTGGAGGCAACGTTTTAGTTACTTCTGACTTATCAGATTTCAAGTCTAGTCTTTCATTAAGAGATGCATGGAGAGCTTTTCATCCTAAGTCAGTTTACATGGTTTAATTCGGATTCTTCCATTGCTAGTCGCCTTTACATGTTTTTGGTTGTAAGAGGCCTGATTTCGTCTCTTAAGTTTTGTGATATTACTCCATGTGTTTTCTCGCATCATGAGTTTGTTTTCGTTACGTTAGAGCTCGGGGATCCTCCTAGACAGGGTCCTGGAGTGTGGAAATTGAATAATTCTCTTCTGGAAGATGTGATTTTAGATCTTTGTACCGCTTGATTGACATCTGGAGAAAAACACATGGCCACACAACTCAGTGTACCTGGTTTAATTTGGATAAATCGATCAGGAGTCGTCTGGATAAATTTTTTATGTATTCCTCCTTATCCTCTCATGCTGTTCAATGTGAAATTCTACCTTGTGTTTTTCCAATCACGATTTGGTTCATCTTGAGTTAAATTTAGACAATGGTAGTCTACACTAGAGCCTAAATAAACTTAGAAATATTTCAAGACAAGTAAATTTTAATTACGTCAAGTAAAATAAGCTTCACACACAACCGATTCTTTTTTACTTCAAGTTAACTTAAGGCCATTTTCCCACGCAACATAATTAAGATTGATTGACATGCTTCACCTTTCTCAAAGCTCAAGAAACCGCAAGTAAGCGCAAGTCAGCTAAGTTGGTCATAAGGATGGTTTTCAAGTCGCTTGAAACTTTCTTGAATTGTTTCAACTTTCCGACTTTAATAAGATGCAAAGTAAAGTTACTTGAGATTTTACTTAGGCCTTCACAGACTAATTTTTGGCTAAGTAAAACTTAGCAGCTCTAAAGTTTTACTTAACAGCCTAGTGTAAAGACAACCAATGTTTACTCTCATGGCCCTGGCGTTTGGCGGCTAAATTTAGAACTTTTGAGCGATAAAGATTTTTGTTCTGTTATTGTGAATGTAATTCAACAACATATTTCTTTCAAACAGTCTTTTCCTTTTACTTCATCAATGGTAGGAGCTCATAAGAGATTGTATCTGTAAAACGGCCATTGATTTTGGTAAACAAAAATTCCGGAAAATTAACTCAGACCGGGTGCACTTGACAAATTTGTTGATCAGTGAGAAACGACAACTGGTTGCTGGAAATCCTACCACTAGATTTACTATCGACCGACCGGAAAGCTGACTTAATGCCATAAGTGAGATAAGAAAAGTAAGAGAAAGGTGAGAGGAAATCTCTCAAAAATTATCGTCATTTCATTACTGACTACAAAATCTCCTGTAAGGCTGTTGCTAACAGATTAATGAAAGTTTTACCTCGTCTTATTCATAGTAACCAAACTTGTTCAGTTCCCAGGTGTACTATTTTTGAGACTTTATTTTTGTTGCGAGATGGGCTACACCATATCGATCTCACTAAAGAGACCAGAATTTTAGTTTAGACCAAGAGAACGCTTTCGATCGCTTAGATCGTTCATTTCTTATGAACGTCTTACAACGTTTCCGATTTGGGCCTGATTTTCGACACTGGATTGATGCTCTTGATAATAATGCTTCCATGAAAGTGATTGTTAGTGGCTATCTCAATGAGTCCATCCCGCTTGAACGAGGTGTGAGACAGGGTGACTCACTCTCCCCACTTTTGTATATTTTATGCGCCGAGGTCCTTGCCAACTCTATTCATTGCAACCTGTGCAAACAAAGTTTCCTCCTCCATGGGGCTCGTAGAAGTTTTAAGATTACACAATACGCTAAGGATACGTTAGCCCTGAGTCGCTTGTTTCAAGTAGTAAATAGATATGAATTGGCCATTGAGGCAAAGCTTAATCTCTCTAAGACGGAAGCCATGTGGCTAGGCTCATGGCGTACCAGGTCAGACACTCCTTTTGGTCTGACTTGGGTGAACAAAATGAAAATCTGTGGTGTTTGGTATTCAAATGCGACCATTAATGTGGACAAGGATAATTGGCAGACTAGGCTAGAAAAACTCGAGTCTAAACTCAACTCTTGGAAATCTCGTTCTCTCTCCTTTGTTGGCAAAGCCCTCATTGTGAATGTTGTAGAAGCAAGTAAGCTTTGGTTTCTGGCCAACGTTATACCCCTCTCTAAGAGGGTGGTCTCTCGATACAACAAATTAGTGTACCCCTTTGTGTGGGGCACTAAGATCGAAACTGTCAGTCGTAAGTCCTTGACCTTCCCTCTTAATCAGGGGGGTTTATCTCTTGTTGAATTAATTACTAAATGCAAGGCTTTGAAAGTAGCAGCAACTGTTTCCATTACTGCAAATCCTGATACTGATGACCACTATCTTTTGAAATATTTTGTGGGTACTCAGCTAGCTCGCCTAGGGGGCGGAGTAGGTAGGTACACATGATAGTAAACACTGATGAACTAGTGGCCCTCAATCGTAATTAAAATATTTAGAACTATATCTACACATAAAAACTAGGCTAAAAAAAAATACTTTTTCAGAGCATTCTGAAACGTGCCAGTGGTGTCCTTCATTCGCATACCAGGAGGAATCCCATTCCATAACTTAGCTCTATGAACTTTAAAAGTACACCTCCTTCCATTTCTCTATTATAAAAAGAACATACCAAAATTAAACCTTCCATAATGGCTAGCCCTGCTGTCGCTCCTGAGATCTGAGTTTCTAAGTTTCGTTATATAGTCTGGGCAGGCATCTTCATTTCTTATGCACCTAAATATTAAACTACATTATTGACGATTTACTTCGTCCTTAAACGGCAACCAATCAAGCTGTCTAAAAAGGTCTTTACTCCTATCTCTTATATTTGGGTCTAAAATTACGAGCTGCCCGCTTTTGCAGTTTAAATACACATTTCACATTCTCTTCGGTTGCTGTGGTCCATGCAACAATATGAGCTTAATCAATGCATTACAAAACAGCCTGCGCTCTGCGAGGGGCAAATTATGCTTAATCTTTTTAAGTACAGCAATACTTTGTACCACTTTCTTCTAAAGTTCATCAATATGTTCAGTAAGATTTAGGTGGCTAATGTTACCCCAGTTAGCTTCTGTGAAGTGGCTTGCTCAATCTTGCTACCATTACATGCAATTTTGAGAGCCTTGTTTGAAATTTTCTTCTCCAAGCGCTTACCAGTTACAAGAAGAGTCTGTCTTAGAATTATTTAGCACCATCCTTTTTTCAGATGTCCAATCAGCTATCTCGTTTGTCTTCCTGCAGTCACTGCAGTACTGCAGGTTGATCTGAAACTGCAGCAGAGGCTCTTAACATAGTATCATCCGTATAGATGTCAACAATTGACCGAGAGACCGCAAGAGGAAGATCGTTTATAAAAATAACAAACAATAGCGACCCCAGTACCGATCCCTAGGGAATGCCATTTGTTATTAGCCTGTGTTCAGACTGGATCCCATCCATAACAACTGATTGTCTCCTATCGTTTAAGTGATTCTCAAGTAGGAGGAGTTCCTTCGATGCTACACCATATGCCTCAAGCTTTGATAAAAGGATACCATGGTCAATTAAGTCAAAGGCTTATTTGTAGTCAACAAACACAAGCCCACTGACATGATCTTTATCCATGTCTTATAATAGCTGATCAATTAAGTGAATGAGGGCTCTCCCTATGGAATGTGATCTCCGAAAACCAGACTGCAAAATGTATAGAAAGTCATTGAATCTCATATAGTTGTACAAGGGTTGGTGGATATGCTTTACAAAAACTTTGGAGAGTAAAGGGAGCACAGATATTAGGCGATAATTATTGTTCTCTCTCCTACCTTGGCCCTTGTAGATAGGTGTAACTTATAGCCGATTTCCACACAGAGGGGTAAGTGCTTGTATCAATGCAGTGACTTATAAGGCGACTTAGGGGCAAGGAGATTGCGCGGGCAGCTATTTCAAGTATTTGTGCACCAAGTCCATCAGACCTAGTAGCCTTGTGGAATGGCATGCTTTGCATAACCTCTCAACGTTTTCTGGTGTGATATATGAGATAGTGAACTGTGCCTTTCTATCATCCTTTCTTAAGTCTTTTATGCGCTGAAGAGAAATATGTATCACTTTATTTGAGGGTAGATTTCGGAGCAGTTCGAGGGGCTCCTTTACAGACCAAAAATTAAGGCATTCCACGATGTCCAGTGTACTTGTTATCACTTGATCTCCATCTTTCAACTGACGTATAGAAGCATGATTGTTCACATCATGTCTAGTAAGATTTTTAATAAGGCCCCACAACCTTTTGGGATTATTTTCATGTTCAGCGAGTTGGTTTTTGAAATACTGCTCTTTGGCACTCCTCATTAAGCTGCAGACTTTATTTTTTACTTGTTTAAAGGTAGCCCAGTCATCCGGACTTCCAGAAATCCTGGCCTTGTTAAGCAATCCATCTCTTTCCTTGATATGATCACTGATCTCCGTGGTGAACTATTTTGGCTGCATTCTCTTTTTTAATCTTTTCTGTTTCACAGGTACCTGAGAGTCAAGAACATCAGTAAATATTTTGTACCAGATGTCAACAATGTCGTCAGTATCTTCAAAGACGAAAGCTGCTTCCCATGGGGCATCTCTTAATTCATCTACAAATTTCTGCACGTCCAGCCTTTTTAAATTCCTGTAGGAAAAGGCGTTGCTTGAATTTTCGCTCAACAAAGCCTCGCCTTTGTAACGTTGAATTGCCATTGTTGCAAGTTGGTCCGACATTCCGATGTTCTTTGTTTGTACACACATCATTCTTTCTGGGTGACCTTAAACAAATAAACCTTTTCAATGTTTTTAGCGATACTAGCATCATCTTGAATCAAAGAAGAAGTAGGTCTGTAGAAACCAGCAATAAATGAGTGGTTTGATTTTAAAGAACCATAACTCAGTTCAGAGAACTTCAATTTCGCTTGTCATCAAGTCCGGGCGAATTTTAGCATGTAGTTTGTCATTCACATAAATCATGATTCCACCCCCTTTCTTCCCAACTGTGTCCTTACGGAACAGGACATATCCATTGATCTGGTAAAAGAAGTCTGGCCTTTTACTGTCGCAAAAAGTCTCCGTTAAAACGAGTACTTTGACTTTATTTGTTGAATCCTTGTGGGAGTTGAGCAACAGCGATATCTGTTCAAACTTAGAGTCTGTTAGATGTTGAATGTTCCATTGTCCAACCGTTATTCCTCTGCCTTGGCTTGGAACTCGTAAATCAAAAGGCCCAGAGTTAGAGGTCACTGTCATAGAATGCCTAATTACTAATAGTCACTTCTTTTATGCTAATTTTTTTTTGTTTAAGTATTTTTTTGGCCGTGTACGCCATTGCATAACTCTTATTGTTGCAGTTGGTACTTTATTGTTCATTATAAAACTAATTAGGTAAAATATTCATTGTAAGCCATTAATTACTAGATCAGACCTTTTACAATTGTCCCTTTTTGCCACACCTTGCATTTACAGCGGAATTGGAAGTTTTAGATATTAAGAAGGAGGTGTGTCGCAAAAAGTCAGTGCGGAGGGCGCGTTCAGAGAGACTGTAAGAGAGAGACCTTGAAGCACAAGCCGTTCTACTGAAATCCCTTCAGCAGAGGCGTCCTTTTTAACTTCACGGCAAAAGAAGTCATTTTGTCGGGGGAAGCAGCTTCATGTGCTGTAAAAGTTGAGAGACCAGGAGAAGTATTGTGTTACGTAACATCTCTCTAAGAAGTCAGTGTGTTACATAACATCTCTCCAAGAACGGTTGTGGAAAAGCAAACTGAACTAGACAGCAGCGGCAAACCGGGAGACTGAAGCCGCAGAAAGTGTATGAAAGATATAAGAGAAAGGTGGCTACCGGAGTTTGGAGGTTTTGGGATCGAGTAAAAGTGGTGTTGTGTTTGGAAGGATTCGCGGCGGGCTGGACTAAAGGAATGGACAAGGAACTCTGTTTTATACGTAAGGTGAACTAAAAGGAAACTATTACTGCGTGTTCAAAGAAGATAACTGTAAATACGTTGTAGACTAAGTAGTTAAAAAATTGCTGTGTATTTTTTGTGTAAATTAGTCGTTGGAATTTAGAATAAGTATCACAAGTAATATCACATTAGTCTTTATAAAATTAAAATAATTATCCCGTTTTAGTTGTTTAGTGAAACGAGTATAATTATAGAAACGCCTAGTTAATCTTAAAATAAGATTAAGTCAGAGGTGACCCGTCCCAGATTACATTGGGGGTGGTCATCCTATGTAGGTTCTGATTTTAGTACCAGCCAACACTGGCTCGGTGTTCGTGACCATCTTACTGAGAATTTTAAGAATGAACTTCTGTGGTTGATCACCCTGAAGGGAGTCAAGGTTTGGGACTCCATTCCTGGGGTTATATCAACTCTGAATCTTGTGCAGTATGTCATCATAAGGAAACTATTGATCATTGCTTTCTGAATTGTCATACAGTTAAGAAGGTCTGGCCTGCTTTTCGCCCTGTCCTGCCATCTTTATTAGCTACTCCCTTTAGATCTAATGTGAAGACAGTCTACTTCTTTTTGTGGACAGTGACCTGCGATAAGAATACAGTGATTGCCTGTTATCTCATAAAGTCCATCTTGTATGGAATATAGGTTTTTAGAAACAAGAGCACTTTTCACAATGGCACTGAAGCCTATAGGGCAATTGTACTTTACATCCATTATGACATTGCAATGCGTCTCAACGTCTATTTTCCTCTAATGACCAAACGTTCTTTTCTTGCTTTGTGGTGTCATGACAGCATATGTGAAGTGTCAAATGTGAAGCTAATAATAACTCTCTAACCCTAAGTTCTCCAGCAAACTCCCGATTCCCTTTGTTTAACTTGTTCACCGACAAAGACTATGTGATGAACTTTTACACATGTGATGACTAGTAGAAACCGGAAGTGACTTAATCTCTCACTTTATAGCTAAAAATCCCGCATGGGGCTTATCACAGTGACTGGAAGTGACTGTACCTTATCAGTATTTGCAACTCACGAAGAGGTAGCTTAATCTGGAAATGGCTTACCTTGTTTCCCGCAGGTGATCTTGTCCATAGCGGAAGTGGGCTTTCCCATGACTGGAAGTTATTTTGACACTATGTGACATGTTGTGTAGTGATGTACGTAGGACGTGTGAGCTGATAATAAAATTTAAAAACACAAAATCTGTTCTTATTAGCATAATATGTGATACGCTGCTCATTGAGCAGCTCATATATTAAACTGATTTTTGGAATTGGGCTGTGGAAAGGCGGCTTGCCTCGTCCCAGCCACTGGTTGCCTTGGTATAGCACTTGAGTGTGGCCCACTTCCCCTTGGGGAAGAAATATTCAACTGATAAGAGACCGCTCTTTTTCCTTTGCTTCTTGGTTAATTGTTTTTTGGTAACATCTGGGTGCCCTGTCCCTCACTAGCCTCCCCTACATCAGGCTTGTATTTAGGCAAGCGGTCGGTCACAGAACAGGACTCCTGTGGCCGTCCGGACTTGTGCAGTTACCACAAGGGCCCTAACAAGAAAGAAGGTTTTCCAATGGCCACCAATCATACTTCTTAATACTTACGTGACGTGGGACTCTTCATTGTGGTACCGTGGTATAGTATCCCGTCCTTGTGACGTTTGTTTTCGAACTAGGTTGTTTTTTTGTGAACAGTACTAAGTACCTGCCGGGAAACAGCCCCCAGGGAACGCCAAGTTTCACTAGTTAGTGGTGTGTTATGGTTTCCTTTTGTGGGGCGCCCATCCAGTTTGGTTCCCTCCGGATCAGGACTTTACTTTCGTAAGTTTTTCCTTTTACTTTTCTAATTTGTTAGTTGTTTTTGCTGTGCTGTATATAGCTTTTGCTTTGGGTCGTTAGTTTTTTGGCGTCCTGCCAACACCAATAACTAGGCCCTCTGTCCTGCAATTAGTGTCTTCCTGCCACTAATTGTTTCTTTCCTTTTGTTGATTGGTGTCCTTTGGACCCTAATTTACTTTTTTGTGTTTTTCTGCTTTCAATTAGTGTCTTTGACATTAATTGTTAATCTTATTACAATCAGTGTCCTTCTGCTACCGATCGTTATATTTTCGCTTCTGCTGTGTGGATTAACGTCTTTCGACTGTAATATTTTTGCGCCTTGCTGCTTTATCGCTTTTTTGCGTTTTGCCTTTTTGCTTCTTTGCTTTTGTTATCATGCGCCTACCAAAAACCATTAGCTTGCAGGTCAGCTGCAAGCTGGCCGACAAAACCAAAGATGAGATCATGACCGAAGTTCTTCGGGTTTTTGCCAGCCTTGACGTCAAGGCTGTCCAGATTGCGTACGAGGTCGTTCGTGTCACCTTCGCTTCTCCGGAGCACTTTTGGGCGGCCAAATCGTTTTCGGGAAAGCATCTTTTCGGTTTGTGGTGTTCTATCTTGGGGGGCAGTCCCCCTGCTATGCGCGTGCACGTTTTCGATTTTCCTTTTGAAGAGGACGATAGATCTTTGGAAATTGCTTTTGAGGCCTATGGTGCAGTCAAGTCTGTCAAAAAGCAGACTTCTCTTTCCAACCAAAACATCTTTAATGGTACCAGGCTTGTTGATGTTGTTTTATCCGGGGTATTACCCTGCTTTCTGATGGTGGATGGCTATTTGTGTCGTTTGTGGTATCGTGGTCAACCCCTTGTTTGCAATCTTTGTGCCGTTCAGGGCCACAGATCGGCAAACTGTCCCAACAAGGATAAGTGCAGAAAGTGTGGGAAATCTGGGCACTTTGCTCGGAATTGTACTTTTGACGGGTCAGCGGGAGACTCTGCGGATTTTCTGCCCTTGGCCTCTTCCTCGCAGTCTGCGGAGGCCAGTGTCTCTTGAGATTCTTCCGACTCTCAGCTCCTTAAGGATAACGAGCTTCATGTTCTGCAAAGTCAGTCGATTCTGCAAGACTTAGTCCCTGTCAGTGGTGATTCTTTTGAGGGGTCCAGCCAAAGGGCTTCCAAAAGAGCCGGGAAAGATAAGGGCTCATCTGCTAAAAGGAGTAATTCTGCTGCAGACCCTGCTTTCAATATTTGTTTTACCAACAGCCAAGAGTTTGCGTCTCTTCTTACTAATCCTGAATTAGAGAATAATGAGAATACTGCAGTACGTAATGAGCAATTAAATGTTAGTAATGAGAATATTAGTGTTAATAGAACTGAAAGATCAAATGAAGTTATTAATAATAGTAGTGCAAATGAAGTTATTAATAATAATAGTACTGAAAGGGTTAATGAAGTTATTAATAATAGTACTGAAAGGGTTAATGAAGTTATTAATAATAGTACTGAAAGAGTTAATGAAGTTATTAATAATAGTACTGAAAGATCAAATGAAGTTATTAATAATAGTAATGAAAGAGTTAATGAAGTTATTTACTATAGTAGTACTGAAAGATCAAATAAAGTCAACGATATTACTGTTAATGAAAGTAATGTTGTGATCGTTGAAAATGTTGCTGAGATGGAGTCTGTTGATGTAATGGCCGGTGCTGTTGCGGCCACTAGTGGACGGCCCTTTATCGAGGTTATTGATGAGGGTCAGGCTGACCTCAGTTCTGATGAGATTGAGTCTTTTGAGGACTCTTCTTCCTCTTCGTCACTCCTCCCTATTTTCTCTGATCCTGCCCCTGACTTTGCTGATGTTATGGACGAGAGTGACAGTCCCCCCAAGGATACGTCCTCTCCTCTTTCTGTTGCCCCTCCTTCTGGTCAAGTTGGGTCTCGTTATGAGGGGCGTAGCCTTTGCGCTAAAGCCAAGGGTTCGCGTGGGGCTGCTAGTGTTCGTCAGTCCCTGCTTCTAAAGCCTTTGTCTGGCAAGCACGTTTTGCCGCAAGCTGTTTCTAGCAAACCAAAAGGGTCTGGTCTTCGTCATAGTGCTTCCCTTGAGGAGCTTGATCTGTAGTTTTCGCCCTTAACAGTTGCATTCAATTTTTTAACTCTCAATGTTAACGTGCTGGTTTATTACAGTGGCTGAGCCACTTGTCATGTGATTTCGTGTGTCTCCAGGAGACTCATGTTACTGATGCTGCAGAGGCCTCTTTAGGGTTCTCTTCTTCTGGTTTCCTCACTGTTGCGGCCCCTGGCACCGTTGCATTACCGTGTGTCATGTTCTTTTTGGTTTCAGTAGTGATGAGCTGTTGTGTGTCCCTCGTGTCTTCTGTTATCTTCTGTCCTTAAGTTTTTTTTCTGGTGTCAAAGGAATGACTATTGTTTTCGGTCCAAACCTCCACGTGCCGTGGGTCTTATTGCTAGTATCAAGGGTCACCTGTCTTTCTATTTACCTCTGCTTTTTAAGTGTTTTCGGTCTTGGCACAGGTGCCGTTTTTTCCAACGCCAATGGGGAGCCAATGGCTGTATTGGTAAGGTCGTTAGTGACTCTTTTCATTTCTGTCTTTCTTAGTGGTTTCGAGTGTGTCTCCCTCGGTCGCCTTTGTTGGCTGTACTGTGGTCGTGTTCTTTTGCTTGAGTGTGTGTGTCTCCCCGCTCTTTGCTCCCCCTCGGTCGCCTTCGTTGGATGTACTGTGGTTTTCTTGGGCTCTGAGTTGGTTTTGCTCAAGTGTGCGTGTCTCCCCTCTCTTTGCTCCCCCTTGGTCGCCTTCGTTGGATGTACTGTGGTTTTCTTGGGCTCTGAGTTGGTTTTGCTTGAGTGTGCATGTCTCCCTTCTCGCTGCTCCCCTCGGTCACCTTTCCTGGTTGCACTGTTGTTTTTCTTGAGATAGGTCTGAGTGAGTGTGTTTTGAGCGTATCTGCTCTTTTTGTTTTTCGTCTTGTATATAGCCTTTTATACTGTATATAGTCTTAAAGTATTTTAATTAGTAGGGAGGCAGGGTTCGATTCCCTGGCGAAGTTGGTGGGCTGGCTCCGTATGGAGGTGCCCCCTCCCATTTTGGCGGTCTTTTTACCATGAAGGTTACCCTAGTTTTTTGTTTTTCTTTTTGTCGGATCGTTTTGTTCCCTTTGTTTTCATGGCCTTGGGGCATTGCACCGCACCCCTNTGTCTCTTCATATCCAATTGTGTATATGTCTTCGAGTTCACGGGCGACTTTAGTGATGGGTTTTTCTTTCTCGTGGCTTAGTTGATGGTGCTGTTTTCATGGCAAAGGTCGTCAGTTTTGTAGGTTTTTGTTTTCTTCTACGGTTGGGTTGCCCCCCCCCCCCAGTCCTGCTTCTAGTGGTCTTAGGTGGTTGCCCGTCTCCCGCTTGGGCTTCACCCACCCGGGCTTAATTTCGGTTTGTGGTCTTCTGTTTTTTGGTGGGTCACTTTTTGGTCACCCTTCCCCTTCCCTCCCCCGCCCGTCAGAGCTTAACCCCGTTGGGGTTTCTCCTTTTTTCTCCTTATTCTTGTGTTTTGCGTTTCTCTTTCATGGCTCTGCGCGCATTCCGCCGCACCGTCAGTCTGGATGTTTCGCAGCTAGCTGGTTCTAATGACCGCAAAACGGTCAGTACGTTTATCGTCGAACATTTCGCGCGCCATAAGATTCACGCTGTTCAGTTCATCGGCACTGTTGCAAAAGTGACCTTTGCCGTTGAGGCAAGCAAACAAGAGGTCATCAGTAACTAGGCAATCAATATTAATGGGGTTCAGTGTGCGGTCTGGGGAGGTGGTCCTCGGGCGCAAGATGTTCTTGTGTACAATTATCCTGTTGAGGGGCCTGAGGACCCCATTCGTAGAGCGCTGGGTGTGTATGGGGTAATTGAAGAAGTCAAGTTTTGTCACTGGGCGCATATGCCGACTGTTGGGGATGGGGTTCATATTGTGCATATGGTCCGCCGCGAAGCTATCCCGCGGCACATGTCTATTGGTGAAGTGTGTGTTAAAATTGCTTACGTTGGTCAACAGCAGGTGTGCGACTTGTGTGATACACCTGGCCATATTGCGCGGAATTGCCCCTATCGGAATAAGTGTTTCCAGTGTGGGCTCAAGGGCCACTTTTCGAGGAATTGTCCTCAGCTCGCTAATTACCGCGATCGTGATTCCATTCTGGATGAGTTAGACCCCACCCCTGCTGAAGCCGCTGGCCGTGCTGTCTCTGCTGCTGGCGCTGCTGCTGCTGTTCCGTCTGAGTCCACTGATGCCCCGCCTCGTTCCGACGCAGATTCCTCGGACGGGGTGTCTGTGTCTTCTGCTCTTGTTGCATCTGCCACTGGTGCTGCTTTGGATGCCGATATTGACTTGTCCAACTCCGAGCTTACTCCTACTGTGGGTTCCACTCCGTCTCCACCTTCTGATGCTTGTGACAACCAGCTCGACGAGTTGGCTAGCCAGTCCGTGCTCTCATCACCTACTCCGTCTGGTGAAGACGTTGACTCACTGCATGGGGCTACCATTGAGTCTGCCGTTTTTGATTCCCTTGCGTCCCTGTCTTCCCCTGGCCAGGGCCCTCCCAGCAGTGCTTCTAGTGTCTGGCTTTTGGGTAAAATTAAGCAAAGGGTTGGGTTGCATAAAAAGAAAGACTCTAAAGTTCTTGACAATGTTAATGTTAGTGATACTGGTAATGGAATAGTACAAAGTAGTAATGCAAAGACATCTACTAGTAATAGTAATGGCAATAATAATGTTAGTGATATTAGTAGTAATGCAAAGACATCTATTAGTGGCAATAATAATGTTAGTGATATTAGCAGTAATGCAAAGACATCTATTAGTAATGGCAATAGCAATGTTAGTGATATTAGTAATAATGCAAAGACATCTAGTAGTGAGAGTGAATACATTGGTCTGGGTGTTCTTGCTGGTCGGGAAAACAACAGCGATATGGAATTGGAGGTTGAATCTCAAAAACGTCCACACCCAGATTCTGATTCAGTTGACTCTGTGGATGATAATTCCTTTGCTGCGCCTGAGGCGCCCCCTCCCCCCTCGTTCCTCCAAAAAGAAGCCAGCTGTTGTCGTCTCTCCAGGCACTGCTAGGCCCGTTGCTGTTGACCGTGACCGCAGCCGCAGTCGGTCCCCTAAGCACTTGCCTTCTGCCACTCGTTCCACCTCAACTGGAACCCATGCTCTGTCACCTTCTCTTGGTTATGTGCCGAAACCTCCCAGGAGCTCTAGTGGCTCTAAGGGCTCCAAACCGAGGTGATTCTTACTCAAATGGTTCAGTCGTTGTTGGTGCAGTGGGTCAGACATTTTGTAATCAATCCAGCTGGTCTGCTTTTGTGCATTTCTGGTTTCACTCCGTCTTTAACTCTTCTCCGGTGGATGTGTTTTCTCGGCCTTTTGCTTTTAGCCCTTGTGCTCTCCCTCCGTTTTATCAGTCGTTACTGTTGGCCTGGCGTGCTGTCGATGGCTCTTTCTCTCGGTCGCGGGTGGCCTTAGTTATGGCCTCGTCAGACCCCCATTTGTTTGCTTTGGCTTCTTCCATGACAGCCAAATCTGCCTATCTTTACTTGCTGTCTGTTAACTTTGTTCCCCCTCACTGTGAAGAAAAGTTTCTCCCCCAGTATGGTTCTCTGTATTGGTCAACTACCTGGAGGCAGCTTAGCTTCTGCCCTGTCGATAGATCTGTCATTGATGTAGCTTGGGAGGTGGCGCATGGTGTTCTATACACTGCTGACCGGCTGATCTCCTTTGGGTATGATTATGACCCAAATTGTTTTTGTGGCTCTCTGGAGACTCCGTCTCACCTTTTTTTCGAGTGTGCTCTGGCTCAGAGCGTTCTTGGCTGGATTCAGTCTCTTATGTTTTGCGCTTCCTCTTTGTGTCCTTCTCTGTTGTGTCGTCATGTCCTCTTTGGCTTCTCTGCTTCTGAGCTTGCTGTGGTTCCTCGTGTTTTTGTTTACTTGCTGAATCTTGCCAAGTACTTCCTGTGGAGGGCACGTAATGATTATCGTTTCCGTGATGTCCAGCCTGGGGCTCTTCCTCTGATTGAGGTTGTTAAGGCCCGTGCAAAGTGCCACCTTTGTATCCTCTTTAAAAGGTTCAGGTCATCACGTCGTCAGCGTTATTTTCACAGGCAGTGGGGAGCAAATGGCGTTGTTGGGAGAGTGTCAGAGGGTTCATTTTACTTTTGTCTTTAGCTTGAGTGAGCGTGTCTATGGTCTCTTGGTCGCCTTTGGTGGTTGTACTGGGTTTCCTTTGTTCTTGAGTGAGTGTCTCTTGGTTTCTTAGTCGCCTTTGTTGGTTGTACTGGGTTTCCTTTTGTTCTTGAGTGAGTGTGTCTCTTGGTTTCTAGGTCGCCTTTGTTGGTTGTATTGGGTTTCCTTTTGCTTGAGTGTGTCTTGCTTCTCTTAGTCATCGGTGGCTAAGAATTGTCTTTCCTCGAGTGAGTGTGTCTTGGGTTTCTTGGTCGCCTTTGTTGGTTGTACTGGGTTTCCTTTTGCTTGAGTGTGTCTTGCTTCTCTTAGTCGTCGGTGGCTAAGAATTGTCTTTGCTCGAGTGAGTGTGTCTTGGGTTTCTTGGTCGCCTTTGTTGGTTGTACTGGGTTTCCTTTTGCTTGAGTGAGTGTGTCTATGGGTTCTTGGTCGCCTTTGTTGGTTGTACTAGGTCTCCCTCTTATTTGAGAGAGTGTGTCTCCGGAATGTTCGTGTCCGTTTCTAGTTTCCTATTAGTTTAGTTTCAGTTTAGTTTTTAGTTTCCTCCTTTTGGAGTGGTTCCGAGTGAGTGTGTCTTTAGTTTTAGTCATGGTTTTAGGCAGTGCCCGCGTCTTTTAACTTGTTCTTTTGTCCCATAGATGTTTGTCTTGTACTGTGCATGTAGGGGCGGGGGTTCAGTTCCCCCAGTCAGTTTCTGTGCTGGTGCACTGCCCCGTTTGATGTGTGTTTGGTACTAGACGTTAAGTCTGGCGGCATTGCACTACCCTAGTGGGGGCCAGCCATTCACCTCAAATACAAAAAAAACTTACCTGACACTTGATTTCACGACGCGGAAATTCTACCTTTTTGGGACGATTTTGCGTTTGGGAACTGGCTTTTTGGTGAGTGTAACTGCTTTTCCGTAGCGTGTGCAAGTCTTCGTGACCACCGACGTCTGTGGATGAGTGGTTTGGCTTGTCTTTGGCTTACTTGGTAGACGACTTGGTTTGGTCAAGCTTCGTTTTTGTGTAAGTTTTCTACTTGCTTTTTTGGGTGGGTCGCCCATCTTTTTTGGGTCCCTGCCCGTCCGGGCTTAAGTTTTTGCTTTCTCCTGCCGGCTTTGTCCAGCAGGTTTCCCTTTATTTTTCTTCTTTGCTGTCTGGCTGCTATGGCTGGCACCAGAACTGTAGTTGTTGACTTGCGTGATTTCCCACCAAATTTTGAACAGGAAGATATTGCTAAGAGATTTTATGACCAGTATGGGGAGGACTATCCCATTGACGCAATCCAAATTGTTCCTGGTGGGGTTTGTAAAGTCACTTTCAAATCTCGTGAGTCCAAAATTTCTTTATGTGGTCAGGAATCTCTCACTTTTGGTGGAGTTGACTGTCGCGTTCTAAATTATGCTAAACGTGTGACTAAAGTCCAAATTCATTACTACCCAGTTGAGGCTGATTTAGATCCATTAGGAAATGTCCTTGCCCAATATGGGGAGATTAAAAAACATCGTTTCCAACATTGGGCTGATATGACTGAAGTTAGTACTGGCACCCGCCTTTTTGATATGATTCTTAATTGCGTTATCCCATGTACTTTAAAGGTCGGTCAGTCTCGTGTGTGGTATAGGGATCAGCCCCTTCAGTGTGATATTTGTCATGGGAATCACAAAGTTAGTGAGTGCGATCTTCGCGGTAAATGCCGTCGGTGTAGGCAAGAGGGCCACTTTTCAAGGAACTGTCCTGTGCCGTGGGGCCGTACTGATAATGTTGTTCCCCGGGTCTCCCCAGTGAGTGATCCTTCCCCTGCTTCGTTGTCTCTATGGGTCAATCTAGGAGTGTCGCTATTGGTGATGAGCGCAGTCGTAGCCGTTCGCCTGTTAGGCGTTCATTGTCTGCTGGGCGCTCCCCTCAGCCTGCTATGCATCAGCTACCGTCAAGGGTTGCTTCTGTCCCCAAACCTACGAGGGGTTCTGAGAGTAAGCGTAGTTCCAAAAAGTCTTGAGTTACCTACCTAATTCAAATGGCAGTGTCAATAATTTCACTTAACATCAACGGTATTAGGAGTCCCAATAAATGTGCGGGTCTCTTGCAGTGGTTGCGATCTCTTCCTGTCGTTCCTGATGTGGTGTGCCTTCAAGAGATACACTGTGTGCGACGCCGAATGTCAATCTTGGTTTCTCTCTTCTGGTTTTCAGTCTGTTGTGTCACCGGGCTCAAACAAATTCTGTGGTTGTATTATTCTCTTTTGTCCCTCTTTGTCTCTTGTTAAGGTTTCAACAGATAATGTGGGTCGTTTTGTTATGTGCTAGTTTTGTTATCATGATAAATCATTTCCTGTAGTTTCTGTGTATGCACCGAATAGCGACCCTGCTAGAGAACAGTTCCTTGAGCAGGTTGGTTTTTGGGTAGATCTGTCTATCCCAACTATTCTGTGTGGTGATTTCAACACGGTCTTTGACCGCTCGCTTGATCGGGTTGGCTCTGATCCTACTGACACTTCCAAGGAAAGTTCCTTGGCTCTTGCTCACTTGTTTGATGCATGTTGTGTTATTGACACTTGGCGCTACCTGCATCCCTCTTCCTCTTGCTTCACTTAGTTAAGTCCTGATGGCTCCGTTTCTTCTCGTATTGGTTATGTTGGTTGTCCGTACGTGTGGGTTTCTTCTGTTTTGTCTTGTGACATCGTTCCCTGTCCGTGTTCTGATCATTGTGCTGTCATTCTCTGTGTGTCTGTTCCTGATGTTGTTCCTCCTGGCCCAGGCTTATGGAAGCTAAACATCTCTGTTCTCGAGGAAGAGGAGTATGTTAATCTAATTTCCAACTTTTGGACTAGCTGGCGTGGTCAGCGTCATCTTTTTCCATCTCTGGACAAGTGGTGGGAGGCTGGAAAATTCTGTGTCAAGGGTTTCTGTATTGGCTACTGTTGCTCTCGGCATTCGACACGTTCACCTTCTCTCTAGACTCCCGTCCCATCTTAAAGATCGGGTCGATGAGGGTCAATTATTGCTGGTCGAGGCCTATCAGTCTGTTCTCCAACAATTGAAAGATTTAGATATTGAAGTTGCCAAGGGGGCTCAAGTGCGTAATCTTGCACGTTGGATCGAGGAGGGCGAGTCCTCCAGCACATACTTCTTTTGGTTGGAGAAGAAGCGTAGTGCGGATCGTTGGATTTCTGCTTTCCAGAGGGATGATGGGACCATTGTCTCTTCTCCTGATGATCTTTGTCTTTCTCTCTCATCTTTCTACTCGTCTCTTTTTATGGCTGCACCCACTGATGCTTCTGCTCAGGATTCTTTGCTTAATAATATTGAGTCTTTGCTTCCTGCTGGTCAGGCTGAATTGTGTGAAGGATTATTAACAGTTGAAGAGTGTTTTGAAGCATTGTCTGGAATGGCAAAATGTAAAGCCCCTGGATCGGTCGGCCTTCCAGCCGAATTCTATCTGAAATTCTGGAATGTGTTGGGGCGTGACCTGGTCCAGGTCCTCAATACCTGTTACCTGAATTGGCGCCCATAACTCTCCTCAATGTTGATTATCTTCGCGATGTAGTGTCATGCTGGTTTCTTCGACTCTCCTTTGGCCATTCTATCTCTAGACCAGGAGAAGGCCTTTGATAGAGTGAATTGGGATTTAATGCATGCCACTCTTCGTGGGATGGGGTTTGGCACGTCTTTTCTTAAATGGGTTGATCTATTTTACACTGGTGTACAAAGTTCTGTAAATGTCAATGGCTACTTATCTCATTTCTTTTCCTTGTCTCGTGGCATTCGTCAGGGCTGCCCTCCGTCTCCTCTTTTGTATGTGCTTGTGGCTGAGGTTCTTACTTGAAGTATCCGTGCCAACCCACGTATCAAAGGCCTTTGTCTTCCTGGGTCATCTGATCCTCTGTCCCCCATCTCGCAGTATGCGAATGACACGTCTCTAGTTGTATGTTCTGATGATGCCATCCGTGCTTGCTTTGAAGTCTACGATGTTTATGAGCGTGGTTCCGGTTCTAAGCTCAATTTGTCCAAATCTAAGGGTCTCTGGCTCGGGCCTTGGGCAAATCGTCTTGACCCTCCAGTTTCTCTTGATTGGTCTTCCGCTAAAATAAAGGTTCTGGGGGTTTTCCTTGGTCCCAGTAATCTTGATGAACATAACTGGAGACCTCGCATTGATGCAGTGGCAAACACTCTCTCCTCTTGGCGTCAACGCATTCTGTCTTTCCAGGGTCGTGCATTGGTCATTAATGCTTTTGCTTTGTCGAGGGTGTGGTATGTGGTTTCTCTTGTCTACATGCCCCCCTGGGTTCATGGGGAATTAGTACGGCTGGTTTTTAAATTTTTTTGGAAAGATAAGAGAGATCTTGTCTTGCGATCAGTTGTTGTCCAGGCTCCTTCGGTGGGTGGTTTTTGTGTAGTAGACGTTAAGCTAAAGATACAATCTCTTCTTGTGCAGTGGGTCAAACGGTTTATCCTGACCTCTTCTAGCTGGTCTGCTCTAATGTTCTTTTGGTTTCGTTCTGTCTTTAATTCCACACCTGTTGGCGTCTTTTCTCGTCCTTTTGCTTTCAGTCCTCGTTCTTTGCCTCCTTTTTACCAGTCTTTGCTTTTGGCCTGGCGTTCAGTTGATGGCTCCTTTTCACAATCTCGATCTGCACTGGTGATGGCCTCTACCAACCCTCACTAGTTTGCATTAGCCGCTTCTATGTCTGCCAAGTCAGCATATCTGTATCTTCTGTCGTCCCACTTTGTCCCACTGTACTGTGAAGAAAAGTTTTTTCCCCTGTATGGTGCTTTGTATTGGTCCACCACGTGGAGACAACTCCACTTCTGTCCCCTGGACAGACCTGTCATTGACTTGGCATGGCAAGTCGCACATGGTGTCCTCTATACTGCTGATCGCTTGATCTAGTTTGGTTATGCCTATGATCCTAATTGTTTTTGTGGTGCCCCTGAGTCTCCTTCTCATTTGTTCTTTGAGTGTGCCCTGGCTCAGAGCGTCCTTGGCTGGAATCAATCTCTCATGTTTAGTACTTCTAACCAGTGTCCTTCTTTGTTGTGTCGTCATGTTCTCTTTGGTTTTTCTGCGGTTCCTCAGGTCTTTGTCTATCTATTGAATCTGGCCAAGTACTTCCTGTGGAGAGCTCGGAATGACCATCGTTTTCGTGATGTTCGTCCTGGGACCATCCCCTTGATGGAAGTCATAGAGGCGAGAGCCAAAAGTCATCTTCGCCTCTTCTTCAAACGTTTCAAGTCACCTCGTCGTCAGCGTTACTTCCATAGGCAATGGGGTCATCGGTGTAGTGTCCAATGGTTCTTTGTATTGCCGTTTTTAATCGCTTTCTATCTTTCTTGGTCTCCCTGGTCTCCTTTTTGCTTGGTCTCGTTCCTCTTGGTCTTCGGTGGCTAAGAGGTTTCTTTGCGTGAGTGGGTGTGTCTCTTGGTTTCTTGGTCCCTTTGTTGGTTGTACTGGGTTTCCTTTTGCTTGAGTGAGTGTGTCTATGGTTTCTTGGTCGCCTTTAGTGGTGGTACTGGGTATCCTTCCTGCTTGAGTGAGTGTGTCTCCGGACCCTTCGTGTTCGTTTTTAGTATTCAGCTAGTTTAGTTTCAGTTTAGTTTCCTCTTTTGGGGTGTACTTTTTGAGTGAGTGTGTTCTTGTTTTAGTTTTTAGGCAGTGCCCGCGTCTTTTAACTTGTTCTTCTGTCCTGTATATGTTTGTCTTGTATCTGTTTTGTTCTGTACTGTGTCTGTAGGGGCTGGGGCTCAATTCCCCCAGTCAGTTTCTGTGCTGGTGCACTGCCCCGTTTGACGTGTGATTGGTACTAGACCGCAAGTCTGGCGACATTGCACTCACCCTACTGGGGGCCGGCCATTCACCTCAAACACAAAACAACTTACCTGACGCGGGACACTTCATTGTGGTACCGTGGGATAGTATCTCGTCCTTGGTGGCGTTTTTTTCAAATTAGCTTTAGCATTTTTTGTGTGAACAAGTGCTAAGTACCTGCCGGGAGGGAATGCCAAAGTTCACTGCTTAGGTTTTCTCGCCCTCTCCGTGGGTGCGTCACCCAGCCGTTGGCTGTTGGTATTTCTTGGTTGGCCGCCGTTTTTGGTGCTGTGGATTTGTATTGTGCTTTTGGTCTTGGTCATTTCAAGCCTCGAACTACGTAAGTTTTTGCACATTTACTATCTTTGGCGGGTCACCCGTCCCTTTTTGGGCCCATCAGGGCTTAACCCCGTTGGTGGGTTTTTTTCTCTGTTTTTTCTTTCTTTTTCATCATGCCCCGGCGTTTCTCTTGTACTGTTTCGATCGATGTTAGGGAGTTTGCTGATTTGGGTAAAACTCACCCGGAGGTCGTTTCGGCAATTATTAATTCGTTTCATCCAATTAAGCCCATTGTTGCGGTTCAGTTTTTGGGTTATGATGCAAAGGTTACTTTTGAGAGCGAGGCCCATAAGCGAGTCCTTAATTCTGATGGCGTTGAGTTGTCTACTTTACCTGAAATAATGAAAGCTCATGAGGATTTTTATTCCTCACTTTTTGCTGAGGAGTCTGTTGACTTAGAAACACAGAATCATTTGTTATCCTTTGTTTCGCGTAGTTTGTCAGATAATGATCGCGATGATTGCGAGGGGGCTTTGCTGCTGGACGAGGCTACTGAGGCTGTTGGCTTGTCCAATAACAACAAGGCCCCCGGCCCTGATGGCTTGTCTGTAGGATTTTATTTAACTTTCTGGTTTGCGCCTCTGACCACTTTTAGTGGAGGTTTTCAATCAGGGTTTGCATGCGTCACAGCTTTGCGATTCTATGAAAACTAGTATTACTTGCTTAGTTTATAAGAAGGACGACAGGAGAAATTTGAAAAACTGGCGTCCAATCTCTCTTGAACATCGCTCATAAGATATGTTCGAAAGCTATCTCCTTACGGCTTTCTAAGGTTTTAGACTCCATTGTCAACCCGGATCAGACTTGCTCTGTTCCCAGGAGATCTATTGCTTCTAATTTGTTCTTCTTGCGTGATGTTTTAGATCATATTGAGCGAACTGATGAGACGGGCATTCTAGTTAGTTTAGACCAGGAGAAAGCTTTCGATCGTGTCGATCCGACTTTTCTTCTGAATCTCTTAAGGAATCTAGGTTTCGGTCCTTCGTTTTTGAACTGTATTCATACCCTGTATAATGGAGCTAATATGCGGGTGATAGTGAATGGTTTTCTTTCTGACATGATTCCTACTAGGCGTGGTGTCAGGCAGGGTGATTCCCTTTCACCGATGCTCTATATTTTGTGTGTCGAGGTTCTGGCATGCAAGATTACAGCCAGTAATGAT